ATCACAACCCCTGAAGATCAGTATTGTGAAGACTTTTACAAAGCCACAACTACTAGATCAGATAATGGTCGGTACGTCGTACGACTACCACTAAAGCAACAATTTCCCAACACCATCGCCTTAGGTCACTCTCGCACCTCTGCAATACAGCAGTTTCAAAGTATGGAAAAAAACCTACTTAAAAAAGGCGAACTCAAACCAGTATATGATGGTGTGTTGGAAGAATATCTCCATTTAGACCACATGGAGGAAGTTAGTCCATGCGAAAAAATCATAAGTGGCAAATATTACTCATTTTACTTGCCTCATCACGCAGTAGTAAAGCCAGACAAAAAAACAACTAAAGTAAGAGTTGTTTTTAATGCATCAAGATCTACTAGCTCGGGGAATTCCCTAAATGATATCCTATTTACGGGACCCACGCTCCAACCAGATTTAATGCTACTAATTTTAAATTGGCGTATATTCAAATACGTATATAACGGAGACGTCGAAAAAATGTATAGACAAATAGTCGTACATCAAGACGATCAAGATTTTCAGCGAATTATTTTCCGAAAATCTCCCAATAGTCCACTACGCGACTATAAACTTAAAACAGTTACCTTTGGCGTCAACTGTGCCCCATATTTAGCCATTCGAACACTGCACGAATTAGCAGAAAACTCCAAGTCAGAATTTCCTCTGGCAACCCAGGTGTTAACACAAACGTATGTAGACGATATCCTGTCTGGAAGTCCCAGTCTTCCACAAGCATACGAGTCACTAGCACAAGTGACACAAGCCCTCAAAACCGCAGGGTTTCCGTTAAAAAAGATAACGGCGAACCACCCTAATATCTTAACGGACATACCTAAAGAAAATCTGTTGGATACTAATTTCCTTAAATTCGAAAAGGAAAGTACAACAAAAACTCTGGGAATCCAATGGAATGCGATATCTGACCAGTTTTCATACACTACAGAGTCAATATCTGCATTATCTACCATAACAAATCGGCAAATCTTATCCTCTGTGGCAAAACTTTTCCACCCCGCAGGATGGCTTTCGCCAATTATGATACAAGCCAAAATCCTAATACAAGAATTATGGTTAGATGGAACCGACTGGGACGAACAAGTAAAACAACTTCGTTTAGAAAAGTGGTCCCAGTTTGCGAGCAATCTAAATGATATCTCACAGATACAAATCCCACGATAAGTAAATTATGCCCCAGAGCACAAAGTCGAACTACACGGCTTCTGTGACGCTTCTGAAAAGGCATATTGCGCAACTATATATGTTCGTACACAAAGCGACAATGCGACCACATGCCACTTACTAGTAGCAAAAGCAAAAGTGGCTCCTTTAAAAACAATAAGTCTATCACGACTTGAATTATGTGGAGCGCTACTACTAGCCAAACTCGTGTCCATCGTACAAACACATTTAAACATGGCACAATATAAATTATATCTATGGTCCGATTCCGAAATTGTACTAGCCTGGTTAGAAAAACCACCACATGCATGGAAGACGTATATTTCCAACCGAACGTCTCAAATACTTGACCTAGTAGGATCAGCCACTTGGCGACATGTGGCCAGTGCTGATAATCCTGCTGATCTAGGTACAAGAGGGTGCAAACCCCTGCATCTTGCCACCAACACACTCTGGTGGAATGGCCCCCGCTGGTTAACAGAATCTCCCGATTCTTGGCCACAAGCGCCCATGCGCAATATAATTGCCCCAGTAAGTCGAAAAATCGACTCTTTTCATGCAACATCGGATGATACTGACATCCTTGAGCGATTCTCATCGTTCCCCCGAGCCCTCAGAGTAGTTGCCTACATGATCAAATTTGTAGAGCAGCTCAAAACTAAAGTTAACGGAACACCTCCAATATACCCCCAATGCGATACATTAACGCACCTACACTTACAAAAAGCAAAAGGCGCTCTTATCGCATCCACTCAAGCGCGATACTTCAGCCGAGAAATATCATTGCTAAAAGATTCGAAGCCAATCGATAAAAAGAGCTCACTTTTAGTATTAAATCCATTTCTGGGTTTGCTTCGTGCGAATGGTCGGCTTGTCAACTCCAGCCTGACATACAACGAACGACGCCCCATAATCATACCAGAAAAAGCACGGCTTGCCACATTATATCTGCATTATGTCCACATACTGATGCTACACGCCGAGCACCGCCTCATGCAACAAATAGTCCGCCAAGAGTTTTTATTCCCCGTCTTAAGCCTCAAATAAAGAAGTGCTTTTACATGTGCAAAGTTTGCACAACGTACAAGCAAAAAATGCGAATGCAGATAATGGCAGCCCTTCCACCTGAACGCTGCAACTTTGCTCTGCCCTTCACAACAACAGGTGTCGATTTTGCTGGGCCTTTCCAGATAAAGGCTTCAATGTTGAGATCTCCCACTTTAATGAAAGGCTATGTGGCAGTTTTTGTTTGTTTTACGACAAAAGCTGTTCACCTTAAGCTATGTACAAATCTGACGACAGAGGCTTTTCTCGCGGCATTCGCTCGCTTCGTCGGACGGCGTGGTTTTCCTTCAAAAATAATGAGTGACAACGGCAAAACGGTTATTGGAGCCAAAAGAGCCACTGAGAAACAGTTTGTGGACTTTATCAAACAAGTCTCACCTGAAATTGTACAGAATTACGCACCTCAAGGCATTAATTGGCAGTTTATCCCCCCAAGCGCTCCTCATATGGGTGGTTTATGGGAATCTGTTGTAAAAAGCTTCAAATCCCACTTCAAAAAAGTAGCTGGAAACTACAAGTTTAATTATGAAGAATTCTCGACCTTATTAATTCGAATTGAAGCCGTTCTCAATTCACGGCCACTAACGACACTCTCGCAAGATCCCTCAGATCTCACAGCCCTAACTCCAGGGCACTTTCTAAAAGGAGCACACATTCTGGCCATACCTGAGCCAGACGTGGAGTCGCTATCCTTACAAAATAGATGGGAAAGAATTAAAATTCTCCATCATGATTTCAGCCGCCGATGGAAGGAGGAGTATATAAAGGACCTTCATAAAAGGTACCGCTGGAAAACTCCCGAGAAGGCGCCAAAGCTTGAAGATTTTGTTTTAATTAATGACGATTGTCTTCCCCCTACGACTTGGTTGCATAGAGAAGCTACATCATGGTTCCGACGGTCATATACGAGTAGTTGACCTCCGTACTCGAAACGGAACGCTAACCAGACCCCTCGTTAAACTATGCTTCCTGCCAATCTCAAATAATAGCGAAAACGCATGTAGTAAACCATCCGTTTAATAATACCTACAAGAAAAAAATCGAAATATCCGTCTAAATAATCGAAAACAGAAATAAAAAACCGCAAATATAATATTACAAATTACAATCATATATACTAACAAAATAATGGGTAGACTAATACGATCACCAAACCAAATAAAATTGGTCACATATAGAAAGATATCCATACTCTATACCACTGAATCGTATTAATCACGCCTTTTTTCTCCATACAGATAGATATAAATACTGAAATGCATTCCACCCCAACGCCAACAATGCGATCGGCCATCACTGTGCCTCGCCTTGGGATTATGCCAACCGCGATGCCCCGAACACCAGCCGCGACCGCACCGTCAACCACCGCTCGTAATAGTATTCGAGCATCCGCAGCCGTTCCGTCTCCACCTGAGGCGCCCCATCGCATCCGATGCCCCCTTTGCTGCCGTCCCCACAAGTTGCAGCACTGTGGGCTCTTCAAGGGCATGTCGCCGACACAACGCCAGCAGGTTGCCCAGGCGCATGGGCATTGCAACAATTGTCTGGCACATACACACACGACGCAGGAATGCGACTCCGGTGCTTTGTGCCAAACGTGTGGCAGGCAGCATCACACGTTGCTTCACCGTACTCCGAGGCGAGAGTGTGGCACGTCGCCGAAGAACGGCACCCCGATCTGAGTCCCGTCCATGGCGTCAGCACAACGTAGCACCAACTAGGCGTAGGCTGAACTACGTTGCAACAGCTACAGCGACTGCTAGGCTGAACATTCGCCTAGGGGGGCCCTGATGGCCAAATGAGTTCCAATTCCCGCCCCGAAGAACGCAGACACACCACACACAAGACAACACTGGCACACACACCACACACAACACCCACACACCACACAAGGATCTCTACACAACACACCGAACAAAACATCTGTCCTCGAAGCGGACAGTCTCTTCTCTCAGCGACTGTCGAGTACGAAACACCATTCCTTTGGCGCGCGTGTCAATCTATCCCGGCTATCAACCACGTTTTATTACCTCTCCACTGGATTGTGACCAGGGAGTGCGTTGAGTTTGCAATTATCAAAATAATTTGTAATATTTGCAATTATCAAAATAAAAGTTTGTGAATAATTTTGAAACGAAGAAACATACGCTTCTCATTTGCGGAATAAAGTGACAAGTAAGTGGTGGTATTAACAGAGGGTTTTATTGAAGGCGATTGGGTATTGTTATTTAACCCACAACGAAAGAAAGCGTTATCTCCCAAATTACAGTGTAATTGGGAAGGGCCATACCAGTATATTAAACGACTCAATGATGTAGTGTATCGCATACAGACCATTGGAAGACCAAGGAATAAAATGAAGGTTGTTCATCTGGAACGACTTGCAGCGTTTGCTACCGCAAATATCTAATCGGGACGATCAGACTTAGGTAGAGGGCAGTGTGACGAACACGAGTACCAGAACAAATTAGAATTGACGATAAACTGCCAGAAGCAACTAAAGAGTGAATTCGTAGTTGCCAGAATGTTCTAGTAGCGAACTTGTGTTAAAAATTTACTATATAAGGGCTGCCGGATTGTGCCGCAGACACAGTTCTAATTAGAGTGTTGCCGTGTTAAGAGCAATTAAGCTATAAGCAATAAGTTGTAAGTTCGAATAGCGAGCAATAAGTGTTAAGTTGTTGGAATTGGAAATTAAGATAAGTGTATAGCATTATATTATATAGCAGGACAGGATTTTGTATTTGTTAGATTGAATAAAGAAACACGGTATCTTATCTATACTTATATACTTATCTGCAGCTCTGTTGGAACAGATTGTCATTGTCATATTTTCTGACACAATACCGAATAATCGATAACTTTCGCCGCAGTAATAATTTTGTTATTAAATTTGTTGGATTATTTATTCATAAAGCTGTATAAACCAATCAATCGGTTTTTAAATACATTTGCTTTCTTGGTTTTCATAACTGGCGTGAAATACTTATTACTTTAAAATTAGCCGTTATGAATAAAGAAGTTCACTACGAAGGTTGGTTGATAAAGTCGCCACCTTCTAAGAGGATATGGAGATCGGTATGTTAAGAAAGTGTATATCATTTGCATAAAATCAATGCATATAAAATATTTGCTTGTTTTCTCATAATGAGGTACATTACATGTAAATATACTCTGATTTTTATATTTATGTGGTACAGTGCATGGTTTATTGACCGAGAAGGGAATTAGTAAATCCGATGTTTCAAGTAGTCTTAGGTCCCTATTACGGTTTTCAACTCAATTACATTTTGGTTGAAGTTTCGGTACCATGTTTTTCAACTCAACTCAAGACTCAACTGCATTTTGGTTTACAACTTTGTGCCAATAGGGTAGAGTAGCTAAGAATTTACAACTGCTTGTTAGCACATTTAAAGGGTCGGCTTTAGTATACCGTCCCAGGCTTTCGGGGATAAAATGGGTATGGACGGATAGAGGAGATCCTCCATATCAAGAATATATACAGATATAGCCGCGAGAAACTTAAAGTTTTCTAGATATTTACGTTTATACTTGAAAATTTCAACTATTTACAGTACGTATTTTTGCGGTTTAAAATGAATTATACACTTATATTGTTGTGCGTTGTCAGCATGGAGTCACATAATTTGTGGCCCACTCCCTATTATGTTGATATACATTGCCCTGAAGTACGATCAAATTTTCAACTGTAATCATTGCTCATGTTGTCTGTAGCAGGCGCTTAAGTTGGATGTGTTTTTATGAGATAGGCGATTTTCGTTTGTTCAAAGATATGGAAAAGATTATGCGAAAAAAAATTAACTTAAAAAAGTATTAGAAATTTTAATAAAGGCCCGTGCTAAGTTTGTAATGAAACGATCCGAAAAAAACGCCCGCATTTGTGGAAAAACAAGTCATTGCATTTGCACCAAAACAACGCTCTTAAATTCTTGGCCAAAAACAATACTGTAACAATGCCCCAACCTCTATATTCGATAGACATGGCTCCGTGTGACGTTTCCAATTCCAAAAATAAAGAGAACCCTAAAAGGCCGTCGTTTTACAATCATAGAATGGATTAAAAGTGCATACTAAAAGAGCTAAAGGTTATCCCAAAATTCGATTTTGTTAAGTTTTTCAATGATTGGTGGAAGTGCTGGAATACATACAGCTGTGTTGAAATAGCAGTGCAGCAGAAGCGAAAGTATAAAACGTTTTTTTTTTGCAAAAAAATGTATGTGATCAATGTTCGGAAGAGAAATACTCTGCTGAACAAAAGAACTGGTTGAATCGTTATCAGATCGATGTTTATGTTTAGTTTCAAGTTGTCTGATTTCTTTGAAGCCAATGCGCTTCTGCTTATAAACCTTAAATAGATCGATTTCAGTCGATGTACATTTTAAGTAAGACCAACGCAATGAATAGAATCTAAGACATTTCAACATGAAACAAAGCGACCAGACTAATCTTTATAATTACATGTTGGAAAATTAACAGCCATGTTACAATAACAAAAAATATGATTAATAAAAAATAAGTAAGGAAGGGCTAAGTTCGGATGTTATTGTTGTTGTTGTAACGGTTATCTAGTCCCCGCTTGGATGGTAAGTGATAGTTTGGTTGTCGTCGAAGTAACCTAACGGGAGGCCCAAGAAACAGGCTGTTTCGACGGGGTCGGACCATAGGGAAAAGGGTGTTAGATGAGTTGGGTTTGTTGGGCATGCAAAGAGGTGGTTAGTATCATGCGGGGCCTCATCGCATGCAGGACATGTGTTTGGTATGTCGGGGTCTATTCTGGATAAGTAGGAGTTTAACCTGCTACAATATCCGGAACGAAGTTGCGAGAGGGTCACTCTGGTTTCGCGGGGCAACTCGAGCTCTACGTCTGCTATAGGTGGTGGTTTGACTCCTAGTACGCCATTCACTGAGAGGGGGTCGATGAAGGTGTTAATGGCTCCACTGTGAATGGCGGTCAGTGCTTGTCTGTAGTTCGTTGCGTCCGAAGTCCGGTCGGCGTACTGTCTGATGTCGTCGACGTAATCAAGGAATGACCTCTTGATGTTCCTAGGAGGCGGTTCCGCTTCAAGCAGGCGACTGCATGGGTGATTTCTACGAAAACACCCCAGCATAAACTGCTTGGATAGGAGCTCATTATGTTCCTTAACCGGAAGCATAAGAGCCTCACTATGTAGGTGTTCAATTGGGGACATCAAGACGCACCCCGTGATAGTCCGGAGTGCAGTGTTTTGACAAGTCTGAAGCTTCCTCGTCTGCGTTGCACTACAACCAGGCGACCAAATTGGAGATCCGTAGTTTAGGACCGGCCGGCCGATTGCCTTGTAAGTTGCCAACAACGTTTCTTTGTCTTTTCCCCAAGAGCTGCCGGCAAGCGACTTGAGGATTTTGTTGCGGCTCTGTACTTTGGCAATTATCGCGGTCGTGTGAGGAGTGAAGGAGCACAGACTGTCCAATGTGACGCGTAAAATTTTAAGGTTATTTACTGTCGGAATTTTTGTGCCATTGACTGAAATGAGCAGTACTCCTTCGTCCAATTTGTGAAGATGGTCGCTGTGGATTTAGTTGGGGAGAGTGTTAGGCTCCTTGCAGAGAAGAAGTGAGAAAGATCGGAGAGGTAACTGTTTACTTTTGAGCACATGCCATCGATTCCATTGCCCGACGTCAATATCGTGCAGTCATGAGCGTACGAGGTCACTGAAATTCCCGCTGGTGGCTGGGAGAGTTTCGAAATATAGAAATTAAACAGTGGTAGGGAGAGGACACCGCCCTGCGGAACCCCCTGTTTATTTTTCCTAAGTTTGGAGTTTAGACCTCGAAACAGTACGGATGAATGCCGACCGCTTAGGTAGTTCATAGTCCACCGCTTCAGCCCTGGAGGGAGCATTGATTGTTGTAGGTCCTCAAGTAGCGTTGTGTGATTGACTGTGTCAAAAGCTTTTGACAAATCCACCTCTAAGAGGATCGTCCTCTCGCAGGGTGGCTTCTGGTTCAGGCCATGAACTATCTGGGCGTTTATGACGCTAAGTGTGCACTTTTCGGAAGCCATGTTGATGATCTGCTAGGCTCAGGTGGTGAGTGAATGACGGGAGTAACAAGGCCTCAAGTGTCTTCACTACTGGGGAAAGGAGAGTTATCGGGCGATAAGTGAATAAGAATAGTGGGACCACTCTTCCGACTTTCCATACATCGGGTATTTGAAGAGTGGATATCGACAAGTTGAGGACCTTGGTGAGATAGTTTACTCCCGTTGGGCTTAGGTGTTTTAGCATCAGTATGCATATTCCGTCAGTGCCGATGGATTTAGACGATTTCGCCTTTTTGATGACACTCTGAACCTCTTCATCGGGGAAAATAAGTGGTGCGCAGTCTTCTCCAAAACCATTCTGTGGATGATACGGTTGGCTTACTGAGAGCTCATCCGCTGCCGTGCCTATGACATAAGCCCACCCAGTCATGTGGGGACTGGCTATGCATTAAAGCATAGATTGCTAGCCTGAGTGGTTATTATATAGGTACTCAGCACATATGAAGAATTAAATGCAACCAAAAACCTCTCTCAGATTCTCTCTCCCCTAGCTGCTGAATGCTGTCCGGACTGCTTATTGGTTATTCGCAGCTTTTCACTATTCGAAAACTGCGACCCGTTTATTTATCTACAGCTCAGCGATTCTCAGATTACCCCGAATCCGCGACCACAGTATTTGCCTTACGTATTAAGACGAGCGGTCTACAACCATTGATTCTTGCAGAAATTGTGAGATCCGTTTTTCTTACCCTGCTGATATAGAAATTTGTTTGGAGATTACTCCTATATTGCCTCATAAAATGTCCTTTACCATCTTAGTGTATGGGGTCTAACTGTTATTGTCTGTGTTACTCCTTTGGCTACTTTCGGATATCTTTAGACTTTCCAATCAAATGCTTCATTACAATTGAATATTTATCCGTTCATTTTATGTTATTGTAGTATATAATATATGTAAGATGGCTATCTGGTTAAACGTTCCAGCCTTTGTTCAAATTTCCCCTAATGATTATAGGATGTTTCTTCTTTGTCATGCTGTTGTTATATCGATAAAAAATGGTTGAGGAACGTTATCTAGGTGCCCTTCATTTGTAGGATTAAAATCCGGCCTCTTAGTAAAGCATTACTATAATACTTGGGTTTACAGTTAACCCTTTAATTTAATCATTCATTGTATAAATAAACAAAAAGCAGTATATGTATATTTTAACTCTTATTAAGATCATGGCAATGTTAGTCATGAAAAGTTAAAAACAAAACTATATTATTGCTTTTATATTCTGTCTTGCAGCGTTGGCGTCGTCGTTGGTTTACACTAAAGCAAGGAGAAATACCTGAACAATTTTGCCTTGAATACTACACTGATCGTAACTGTCGAAAACTTAAGGGCATAATTGATTTAGATCAATGTGAGCAGGTTGATTGTGGTCTTCGGTTGGAAAACAGGAAACAAAAATTTCAATACATGTTTGATATTAAAACACCGAAACGGACCTATTATTTAGCTGCTGATTCTGCAGAAGACATGCGCGATTGGGTTAATTGTATTTGCCAAGTATGCCACTTGCACGACACTAATCATTCATTGGAAGATAACGGTAATTTTTGTTTATTTATTTTAAAGAGACCTAATCAAATATGATTTAAGGTGTATAATCTTAATTTTACTTTGGTAATTTATCAAAATAAATATAGTTAAAAATGTCTTATTCAAATGACAGTATGAATACGACGTTTCACATACGAAATTTGGTTTAAATTAGTTCCATAGTTCCTAAAATTTAGGATTTCACCTAAAGGTTGGTAGTGCCACGCCCATTTTTAAATTTTTACACCTCCTATAACGCTTTTCCCTACCATCTTGCTTGTGAAATTTAATGCTTAGTGGGCGTGGTTATTAATTGATTATACCCATTTCACAGCGTATGCTAAAAAGACTTACTCCCAGCAAATTTGGTTGAGTTAGCTTCAGCGGTATGAAAGATATGTACATGAAACCATTTAGGGGGCGGGGATACGCCTAATTTTAACAAAATATCAGCCAATAGGTATCCCAGGTACCAATTTACAGTGCTAATCTTAATTTAGTGCCTAGTTATGGCACTTTATAGTTTTTCTTTTAACGTTATTAAAAGGAAATAGCTGTAAACACGGATGTGCGCACTAACTTTCAACACAGCCGTTTTTACTTATATGTTACTAGAATTGAAACGAAACTACGACAGTCTTTTTGAGCTTCTAACCCTACCCATTGTAGCGACAGAAAGCATTCCTAAAATAATTTCGAAGAATGGTAGCGGGTTCATAGTCTTTGGCGGGGTGAAAATCAGGTCCGTTCCGCTTGGGTATACCTGAATGTTGTAGGAACGGTTTTTTTTAGTAATATGTATTAAGGGGACTAAGAGAAGTGCGATACCTAGCATCAGGATTGCTGCGCACCGTCTGATTCGAACTGGCATTGAGTCTAACCCAATTTTGAAGCAATGTATCTGCTACGTGTGCAATGAAAGTCTCCATCCAATGTTAACTATGGTTAGGTGTAAAACGTTTTCCTCCAGTACTAGAAGTTCGGCAGTTAATTCCTTGTGTAAATTCTGAATACTGAAATATCACATTGGTCCGTAAAAGTGATATTTAAAATTTGAACACCCTCGGTGTTTGTTGTCCATCTGATGGGATTACAATTTTAATTTACTTTATTTATTATTAAAAGTTCAAAACCGGATGTTTTATTTCCATAAAATTATAACAATATGTAAATAGTTACTCTATATCTTAAACGTTCAATATAGAATAATTTTAAATCGTCAAAAATGTTAGCGGTTTTTATTAAAATAATCTAAAATGAATATTTTGTCCGATAGGGCTACAATGTAAAATAAAATAATCATTTGAAGCGTGCTCACATTGAAATAAGTTGGATATCCCTGTTTAATGCCGTCCGACTCACTTGATTTGTCCGTATTTTAGTGGTCGGTATGAGAGAAAATGTAAACGACTGCTTTAATTATTTTAAGTAACTTTTTTTTCAAAAATTGTCTTTTCTCATAAATCTCAGGTCGTTCCCAGTTTTAATTTATATTTCTGAGGTCTGAAGAATACGGCGTTGTTATTCAGAGACAGTTTTTGTGTAATATTTTGTTTCGTACAGTGAAATTTCTATCTGAAATGGCAGACTTGGATGGGCTTCTAAAGATTTTACTGCGTTCCTTTGGTATTAAAATTGTTTGACCTAATAATCAATAATATTTGGACTTCAACCAATATACCATAAATCGAGAGTAATTTATGTAAAAATTACGTCCAAAAATTGTTGAAATCGGATTTTAACTTTTCAGGCCCCCGATAACGAATATGTGGACTTCTATGGCAGACTTTTTACCGAAAATATCGGTCAATCCGTGAGATCTAATATTGAAATTCAGTGAGGATGTTTTTATGATAACAAGCATTCGCTTGAGGGATATCTTAGTTAGTTACATATTTATTAACAACAAAAGAATACCGGAAAAAATAAAAAAGGTTAAAAATTTCCACAACTAGCAGCTGATAAATTCGGGGCAGCAAAATACCTATGTAAATCTCCGAAAATAATTTTAATATTCAAAAATTCTCTTGTAGACATATTCTTGAATTGTGAAGCTATAAATAAAAAAAATGAAAATAAAAAAAATAAAAATAAAAGGATTTTTTTTCTAAACAAGAGTACCCCTTGATTCAAAAATGGGTAAAATGTGGTCAATACTTCTCCTAGTCCCCATATACATAATGTAAAGATTTTCGTTAATATAATATAAATGTTTTCAAACGTCCGGGTGACTTTATATATCTTATATATTGGTAATTATGTGAGTTATCTTAATGAAACTCAGAGAGCAATTTTCCTGGTAATGATGTGTCGTAATCCCAAAGTTAAATATAATCGGGTCAATACCACTCGTACGAATTTCAAACATTGGATTGGTTAAATATCGATAAATGATGAGATATCTTTGCAAAATGAAGTGTACGTATAATACTAAATACAATATGGTCTATTGTCGAAAATGTGTGAAATCAGTCCGTGAATTATCCCGGCTCCCATATACTACATGTCCTAATAACAATTTTCTAGCAGACTTAATGTTAAATATGACGGACAGTGTGTGAGTTATTTTTAAAAAAATAATAATTAGTGGAAAATGTTCTCAAGTATAGGTACTTGAGTAATTTCAAAAGCTAATGCGATCAACACATACTTTCCTCTGGTGGATGTTTTTCTCATGTACTCAATATATTAAAATTAGATTTAAATATAAATATCTCGGACACGAAATAAAGTGTAATGGTGAATCTAAGTAAACGTATGACCTATAATATAATATAAGTTAATAAGATACCAAATATGATTGTAATTCGTTCACGATTTCGTCAACCAATGAATGTTGAACTTTTACTCAACTTTTTTATACTCTCGCAACAAGTTGCTACAGAGTATAGTAGTTTTGTTCACCTAATGGTTGTTTGTATCACCTAAAACTAATCGAGATAGATATGGAGTTATACTGTCTGTCCGCGCAATCTATAAATTGCAGAAAAATTAAGTTATCTTGTTGAAACTTGCTACATATTTTCGTTAGCACCCACGATAGATCGGAATTGCAGATCTAAATGGTTAAATGTACATTAGGGTTTGTAGAAAAAATGCTGGTGATTTGAAAAATAGGTTCCTAAACAGCTCTAAGAAAGTCTCTCCAAGTATGAGCTCTTAATGGTAACGAGAATATCCTCTGCTTCGCAGTTTTATATTTTTTCTTATTATCGGATAAAAATTCAAATCACACTTCCAACTACTTGAATAAATATATCGTGTCATAGATTTTGTTGGAAATTGAATGTTGCTATCAAAATGGATGAAATCGAATGACAACACTTTGCAGTATACAAATTAAACATTAATAAAGTTATCAGAATAAAATTTTTCACAAGCTTTTCAGGGACCCAAAATACGATGTGTCTGTGAATTGGCAAATTTTTGCAGTATTAACCGTCTATTTCGCCCATTCCTTCTCAATGGCTTGTTTTAGCTAGTCATACCGCTTTGTTGACCTAAACATTTTTGAGAAAAGTATGCCCCACAAATCTCTATTGGATTCAGATCAGGACTTAATGCCGGCCAGTGAAGTATCTTGCGACGTGGATAGGCGCGTTATCTTGCTGGAATACCCAGTTGTCGTCATGATATTCCGCAACAAATGTGATTAGCAATTCCACATTTTTTTTTTTTGCTGTCATACGACTCGGATCAAAGCAAATGGGAGAATTCTCTTTAGCGCTAAAAGTAGACTGCATTAGAGAGCCACCGCCATGTTTACGCTAATAGCAAGATTTTTAAGGGTGCCGTGAATCCCTTCTTTCCAGAATATGTATTTTTAGAAAAAGGAAATGCGTGCCATTTTATGGCGATCTAACAAGTGGAATTTAGGCACTTCGATTCATATATAAGATTTAAGTCCTCTTTCAAAATTTGATTCACACGTTGTCTTGACACTTGTGACCTAATTCCGCCTTGATTTTGGAGCAACTCATTATGCATACTCTCTCCTTAGTTATTTTTATGAGTCCGATAGTAGAGATGTTGACGGCGCGACAGTCAAAAAACAAATACATCATTTTGCACATACCAGTGCAACTCGTTTAACTATTTTCTACTAAGCGGCACGATTTGCATCGATTGCTTATTGAATAGAATAGAAATGAGGTATGCACCGCGACCTAAGTTCTATTGTACCCTTCCCTAAGTCACAACGACTCACTTAGCCCCAGCACGTGGATCAATTCCAATATACTGATAGGTGCTAATGAGGCGTTGTGATCCCTATTCGCAAACATGGATCCGAGGACCTTAATTCTGCGTCTGCAAACTGCTATGCTGTCTATTAGCAGGTGTTCTACTTGTATGGTTTCCATCTCAATGTCGCAGAACTAGCAGTTTGAACAAGAGGCTAGGGCCATGTTGTATAGATGCTTTTTGAGCTTGCAATGGCCGGTGTAGAACGCGACAAGTAGCCGAAATTTATTTCTAGGGAGATTGATTACATTTTTAAACCTGCTGAGCTCGTAACCACCCATTAGCAATTTGGCATGGCGCATGCATTGGAGTTGTTGCCAATGCCTCTCCCTGCCTACTCTTTCCTCATTACGGAGCAGCTCCTTTATGGTATGTGGACCAACGGCGATACACGGCTCTAGTCCTACCATTCTGGTGAAAGCTGCATAGCCGGCTAGCTCGTCAGCCAGGCATCCAAATAAGGTGCACTTAGCTGCGTTTTGATAGGCTGTTCACTTTCAGTGCTGCGGGAACGTACGCATTGCACGCGACGCGCATTTGCAGGCAAGTCGTTGCATCTTCGATAGTTGGAGTCCTACTGAAGTCTACGATGCTTTAGAAACTCAAGCCACCGTCCCATATGTGATAATCGGTCTCACGATCATGGTGTACATCCACTTGATAATCCTTGGGTTGCAGCCCCAGGATTTTCCGGCATGTCGGTTGCGCACCATGAGTGCTTTCGTAGCCTTGACTAAGGTCAGGTCCACATGCTGCTTCCACCGTAGACTGGAATCCAGCGTGAGACCTAGATATTCTTGCCACGCTTTCGTGAGACGTATTGTCAAAAGCACCTTTGATGTCTAGGACTAATTGGCCTAAAAAATTTCGTCATAGTCTTTCCTTCCTAACTTGAGTATGAGTATTACCTTTGCAGTGCGCCATGGTTCTGGAATATATGCTGGAAAAATGCCATCCGTACCCGGGGACTTGTATTTTTCAAAAGAAGCCATAGTCCTCTGCAGTGAAGAGCTGTTTTGCGACTATATGCATTATAATATGCTGGTCTTCTCGAATTGTCTTCGGGAAATGCGCATGTAGAAGAGCTGTGGCTCTTTCTTCAACGCTGGACGTATAGGTCCCATCCAATCTTTAAATGGCTAGTACTGTGCCTTATGCAGCCTTTTGGCTTCTGGTGTTGAGGAGACCTTTTCACTGATCTTCCTGAAACCCCTATGTTTTGCTGTCCTACTCTCTTTGTTGGCCTTGTTAAATACTTAAATTTACCTGAAATTTTAGAGAGTTTTCTTTTTATTGACTTGTCTATGTCTGGAACCAGCCCTATTCCTAAATTTTTACTATTTTCAAAAAATTTGAAACGAAACAGTAAAAGATGGTACAAAAATTGTTTTTGTTTATTTTTCAGACTGTCGCCATTTCGTGAAATTTTTTTTCAAACTCTTTAGTAGTTCCAGATATTGCGACATTATTCCAGATTAATAAATTTTTTCCGTTTTGATTTTAGATTGCTGGGAGGGTTGAAATCGTGAGGATGGTCACGCACTAATTTTTTCAGACCCCCACTATATCAGCTGCTAAAATTTGAATTTATTTTTTTAATATACTGAGAAAATGCAACACTTCGGATTTTTGGTTGTAGTATGTGTATACTTTGTTTCCTCTCACAATGAAATTAGATGGATATCCTTTTATCACTTATTCCTGCGGTATGAATTTGCTCTCTCGACGTATTATTTGATGCATACTTACTTATGTATATGTTCAATAAGATGGGGATTCTTTTGTCGCTCATTATCGGTAAATTCTGTTTGCAACTCGAGTCAAGTTTTTCTGTCATTCCTTTTCATAAAATTTTCGCAAATGTTTGTGCAGTTCGGTTACGCGTGTATTGCATAGTTCATTTGTATATTGGTATGGTTGTCTCTGATTTTGCTTACAAGGAATCACCATGAAAGTGGTAGAACAATATTTAGAATACACGCTAATAATATTTTTAAAGAAAATCTTATGACGGGAATTCCATAATCCATCAGTATGTATTGAATGCCGCTATAAATTTTCAAGGCTAAATGTATGACGCGAATTTCCTAATCTGTCGGGAGTTATTAAAACCCCATTCCTGAATTAATTACATTTCTTGTTATAAATAAAATGTAAATTGAAAGAAATATATATGAAAGCATCTTAATGTTTTATGTAAATATATAAAAGGTAAAAGTAACTTAATTTTTAATACTCCTAAATGTTATTAAAAATTGAAATTAAATATATTGAGTATCTTAATTTTATCCTTATTCACAATTTTTCAAAATATTTCTATTATTCTGTGCATATTTGCATATTACATGCAAAAAATAGATAACAAAATTCAAATTTCCGAACTCATCGTACATATTCATTTGAAACCGAGCGCTATTGCAACCATGAAACGAATTTCAAAATGAAAAGGAATTCGGAATTGGGCAACAGCGAACTGTTACGAACAAGAAAACCCTTCGTATTTCCTTGTCGTCCCCCGCTCACAAAAAACCGGTTGGGGCGACAAAAGCGTCCGTGTGTGAGCTGGTACTAAGTGGGATTGCTTATATGTTATTACACAAGTATGTTATTTTTATGACATTTAATTGTGCTATTCAATATTATTTAGAGAGGTGTTATGAAAAATACTCATGGTAGCCCCTGTACATATGTACATAGAGTTTAGTTTTTCAGTCACGTGTAGCTGCTGGGCTTTTTTTCATGGATAAAATGATCCGAAACTCTTTGATTTGAGAGAGCGCTGTCAAAGTCCACATTTTTTTATAACATTTGACAGTGGTGCCATTAACGAAGAAGTAAGTTTTGAGATTTTAAAATGTATTTCTTGGGTACTTTTAGGTTTCCATTTTACAGAAAAATATACATAATTAAAATTAGTTTAACAAGCTAGATATCCTATATGACTTCTAAATATAAGTACATGTATATTTTAATCACAAAAGATTTTCAAAATTAACGATACAAAATAAATTTAGCAAAATATTTTATAATAATCAAAACACACAAGTTTTAAATAACCTAAACATGATCCTAATTTCTTTTTTATATACTCAATTAACAAATATCTTTTGATAATTTATTCGGAAGTCAAAGTTTACATAACATTTGCTGGGAATTCTAACCAAAATAAGTTTATACGTTGGCAATTGGTACTGCTAAGCAAAAGAATACTCTGCGACAAAATACCGCTTTTTCTTAAAAACAAAACTATATTAAATCTCTTTAAATAAATATTACAAATATACGTAAAAGGCAACAAAAAATCTGATCTCACAAATTACCCACTGATTTCGCAATTTATTTCTGCGGGATTCTTAGTGGTAGTTCATGGTTTTGCTTGTCATCTGTTCAGTAGCTCATGAACTCGTTTTTCTTGGCAGCACTGAAAGTTCATGAGCTCTTTTAGAAGGCAAAGAGAGGAGTTTCGGATCATTTTATCTATGCTTTTTTTTGGCCGGATTGAGAATACCCTATTATGTTGTAAAATGTATACTACAAAATGTACTGGATAAATACTTTTTTATCTTCATTTCAGTTAAATCGCGTGCGTCAAACAATAAAAATGAAAATTCTGTAGAAGCGCCGAATAATACATTACCACGAAAAGATAATCAAAATAGAGAAATAAGTGAAGAGAAACTAGGTATTTTAATGCCGTCACCGATATATTACAATAACGTTTCTAAAAATAGAAAGTCGACTTATGCCAACTCGGAACAAAATAATCTAAGTTCGGTTTCAAATACTGCTCGAGAAACCACAAATACAATCAATCTAACTACTGCAGTTTCGAACAATGAAAGTAATATTTATCTTAATACATCTATAACATCTCATCAAAATCATGAAACGAATGGTGCAACGCGAAAAGTTCCAGAAAATTTAAAACTGCAGAACTCACCTTTATTAGAAACATTGACACTTAGTGTACAATCATCTCCTTCATTAAGCACCTGCTCTGGTCCATATATTCCAATTAGCGAATGTTTCTCTGGCACACCAAAATATGTGAGTAATTATTATAAATAATTAATATAATATTAAACAAGTAAGGGCTAGTGCGCGTATAACCAAACATTTTATACTATCGCATTTTGCAAGGATCAAATCTGGAGAAATATTTTCAGCTGTTGGCAAAATTATTTATTAACAAGAAAAAACGTTAATTTCGGTTGCACCGAAGTTGCTATAATACGATTAAATGTTGTGAAGATACCTCGTCAAATTCAAGAGTTTTCCATACAAGCACTTGAATCCGATTGTTCAGTTTGTATGGCAACTTTATACTATAGTGGTCCGAGGGACCAGTTCGCGTATATACAGGCGGACATGGCTAAATCAACTCAGCTTGTGAATGGATTACCATCAAAATTGGTATTTTATTAACTTATATTGAAGGTCACAGATCCACTTAGTTTTATTACTATATATTACTTCGCGTCAGTGAAAGTTATATTAAAAGTATTCTCAAATAAGATATATATGATATACCGTAAACTTAACCGAAGAGGCTAAATTTAATATATTGAGTTGATGTCGAAAACGTAAAGTAAAGGATCGAAATTCATTATATTAGGGATATGAGGTTCGGACCAAGATCCAGACCAATTCCATTCATATTCAGCTGTAGATCACATAATTTTTAAGAAAACTAGTGCATTTAACTATGAGCTGCATTTAACTAGTTTTCTTAAGAATTATGTGATTTACAGCTGAATATAAATGGAATTGGTCTGGACCTTAGTCCGAACCTCATTTAAATATTACACATTTTGACCCACCTTAACGGTTTAAATATTATATATGATCGATATGTACGATATAAAGCTAACCGGAAGTTTGATTACCTTATATTTGGGACATAAAAGAAGTGCCCGATTTTATCTATTTTTGGAATTACTATTGTTAACAGAAAAAAGTGCTCTCTGATTTTCATTTCACCAATTTATAAAGAGTAAAGTCAACTAGGTGTTTGAAAACCCTGATATTGGTAACAAGGCTGGGGGGTGTTTTCACCGCGTTTTAACCAATTTACAGCTCCTGTTCACATAGCCTCACAATAGTCACCACCCCCACTATTGTGAGGTTTTTGAATTTTGTGAGCTTTACCTTATGTTGGCGTAAATTCAAAAGCTCAAATGCTTACAATTTCCTCACATTTTTGTGACGTCTGAAAGCAACCCTCACAATACAACATTTGTGTATGTTTTGTTTATTTCAATATTTATAAGAAATTTGTAAATATTTGATTGAAATAGAATGGAGGAACTTTTTTCAAGTTCCTAAGTATGAATAAAAAGGCTTCTATGTGATTTAAGAGAAATTCTGAAATTTTTAGAGGTGTGTTCTTTTTCGTTTCAAAGATATACATTTTTGAATTTCGGCGAAATAGTATTTTTCTATTTTTTCAACATTTCAAATTCAAAAATTTATATCTTTAAAACAAAAAATAAAACACCTCTGAAAATTTTAGAATTTATTTAGATATGTTAGAGGTATGATAAAAAAATTTTGAGGCCAAAATTTTCCCGCGACGGGTACTTTTAACAATTTTGAAAAAAAAAATTTCCTATACCTTTTAGTGTCCTCTATGAACGCACCAGCGTTTTTTTCAAAATATACAATAGTTTCTCAAATATTGAATAAATAAACTCATAAAATCGGAAAAACAGTGAAAATTTCAATTTTGAATAACTTTTAGGAAACATTTTTTTAAATTTTTTCCTTTGGCAGAACTTCGTTTTATGATGAGACAAAACTCACTGCCAAAATTCATCCAAATCGGTGGGGGTCGCGTCCAACTATTTTTCGATTTGACATGGAATGACCCATATACATACATATAGTACATATGTAGTAATAGCATTCTCAAAGATTTGGTGAATTATCAACGAGAAAATATGTAATCCTAACTATTACGAGAACACATACAATACGAGACAATATACAAGTACAAAAGAAGAATATGCATGCAACATGCATTCAACATTTAACAATACAAACATGTTTAGCTAGTTTTAGAATAAGTAAAAATACACATGCATTGAGTTGTACACAAAAAAGAAAAACGATATATATAAGATAGATTTCTAAAATAGTATAGAATCGAGGAAAATAGTGAAATATCCTAAAACCACATTTTGTACGCATAAAAATAAATGAAATCATTATATTTACATCAAAATGATTAAATTTGCGAAATTAATTACTAATATTGGTTATCCATTTCTCAATTTTTCTTTGTTTATTTTTATAAAACAGCTGTTTGACAGCATAATGTTTCTTACCTCATTTGGTGACTTTATAAGCTTATTACTTATGAGGTTAAAGGAAAACAAGAGAAAACGTTATCTTCGGCTGTGCTGAAGCTATAATACCCTTCACAGGTGCATTTCTTTTAGTAACTACTATATGTATGACTACATTTGAAAACGTGACTTGCCAACGGTTTGCATCCAACGGAAAGCATTTTGCTAGTTCTTTCTAGCCAGGTTCTTTGCTATAAACAATCTTCTATTCGAATTAAGGTTAGTTATTGAGGTAAATAGATCTTTCAATGATTCAATTCAATTAATTAATGGAAAACAAAACAAATTTTAATATTTTTAGAAATTAGAAAATATATAACATATAATAATATTTATTATTCTATAATACTTTTTTATATGATACCTATATAAATTACAATAATTACATCTATGACTTACACTTTATATTATAATACAAACTTAAATTTAATAATATTGAATCTAACATATATCTATATATATAATATATCTATTTTCTAAAGCTTAAAAATATTCCGTCATGATCACTATATGGTGTTTCATATGTGATACATGAGGTTATTGCAGAATCCATGGTTGTCCATACCCAATCTATTGATGTTTCCTGTTTTGTTGTGGCGACCTTAGCCAATGAAGATTGAAATCCTAACTGTTGCCATCGAGCCTCCAAATCATCAGTTGCTGTTAGGCGACATATGTTAAAGTCACCAAGGACTACTGACGGTCCATTATACTGTTCAGTTATCTGACGGATATTATTTTCCACTTGGTTTCTAAATTCCGGAAGTGATATGGAAACTGTTGAATTGTTTACGTTTAACAGTTGGTAAACGTTTGTTGAACCGGTGTCGTTTCTTGAAAATGATTCTTCTGATAGACCTGGGCACCTATCTTGCTTGTAGTATATTATAAGGCCGTTGGCAGGGAGTCGTCGGGATGATCTTTTTTCTCCATCAAGGCGTGCAGTAACACTGTAGCCTTCTATTTGGAATTCTTCTTGAGGTAAGGCCCATGTCTCGGCAAAGCACAGAATATCAACAGAACAAATCAGCTTGTTTGATCTAATATCTTCAATATGCTTGTTTAGGCTCCTTACATTTTTATAATAAATATCTAGGCGTTGTTCCGATTTTTCAGTCAAAAATCTGTAGAATGTCGTCAATGCTCCTTCTGTCTTCAACCTATTAAGTTGAGTTTAAATTGGATCCGCAGTCTAAATGGGTTCGGAAAATGTCCCGATTATATACAATCCATTGGCACTTGTGGCTCTGCTACATCCTACATATACTTATATAAAGCTGATCTGCTTACTCTACCCTCTAGATGAACAGCAACTTGTGTGTATGTTCCACCTTGACTTTTATGTATCGTGATGGCTTCAGCTGGAATGACCGGAAACTGTCTGCGTTCTATGGTTATTTGCTCATTTCTCTTGTATTGGAATGATCGGACCACGCTCATGATTGGTGTCCAATCTGCATTGCGACTGTGAGGCTGCTTGGAACGTGCAAAGCTTCCAATTCTTGATTCTGCGAATTTTATCCATAGTCGCACCACTGAACTTTCAGATCTGTGTGATTCGGAATCAACCTGCATTAGTTCCTCCGTAGCACCATTGACGAGACCATCAATTAGAGGTCTTTTCCCTGCTTTTGATTAATTGGATGTCAGCGTGTGTCATATTCAGTAAGCTCAAAGTACCGAAATTGATCCCAAAGCGGTGTTCCTGTAATTGTACTGTAATGATCATTCCTATTCAGCGGAAATATCCATCGATCTCCTACTGGCGGCAGCTGCTTTAAGTCACCAAACACGATAATTGGTATGCCTCCAAAGTAAGCGGTGCTGCTGAAAATTTGCTTTAGCCTGCAATCTAAATATGCAAACATCTTTGCTCCAACCATTGAAATTTCGTCAATTATAATAAGCCTAATATCTATGGGTGCGCAGAGTAACAACTTGGCTGTTTCGGGGTTGGTTCCTGGTACACTATTAGTACGCAATGTCAACGACTGATATATAGTTCGGCTTACTCTTGCGCACTCCAGCACCGCCTCCGACATATTCGAAGACGATTTCCCTTTTACTGACATTGTGCATTACATGAGCAAAGTATTCCCTCTGTTTGCTGTTAAGTGACTGCACCATTGCTAGTAAATGGTCTTCTAATATTATAGGTGGGAGTTTAATTAATCGAACCGCCTCTTCCTCTGTATTGTTGTGCTCTTGAAAAACATTAATGTCTCCTGTTTGCTCTGGAACGGCTAGAGCTCTAAATTCGGGATCTAAAAGTTGTGAGGCAGCTCGATCATGAGCTGTTTCTTCCGCTGTGACATGAAGGTTTTCCAAAATCCGTTCTAGTTCAATCGATGAAAATTTGTGATACTTGAGCTTATTCAGCTCATTTGCTCCTTGCGTGAATTGCAAATACTCTCGACGTCATTATTTAATAAGTCTGTTTCCTCATTTCTTCATGGGTGAAACATCATGGCGGTTTCTCTGAAGAAATCGGCTCTTGAACTTTCAACGCTAAAACGTTTCCAACGCAGAATAAGGGCTTCCTTCCTTTTCCTTAGAAATCCTGATCCATCCTTTAATGCCATTGGAAGTGCAGCTGTCGTGTCATCCTCGTTCTCTACTTCGTTGTATTCTTCCTCCTGTAAAGCATTCAATTCAAGTCGGGGCTTTATCATCCTTACTCGGTTGTTTGGATGTGATGTATTTATAAATATTTCCCCATTACTGATAGATGCAGTCCCAAAATATTATAAGCTGCTTCTTGAGCCGATATTTCCGATCCATTTACAAATTTGTTTCCGATGTGCTGCAGTTTTCTTTTAATGGAGAAATTCCCTGCATTTATTTCCTCCATG